TTTATTGCAGCGTTATCCCTGCCGGTGGCGAAATTTTCACTCTGTGAAACGACAGCGTCTTAGTAAGGACGAGTTAGCGTAATTTGCTGAATTATTAAACCTGCTGCATCATGGCGGTGGCCTAGAAAACTTAATAAAAATGCATTAATACCTGTTAGCTGCCCTGTTCTTGATTCCCTCCACCAAAGGAGCTGGAACGCAGGGTTTATTTGGCTTCTTTTTGTTTTATATTTAGGTTATTCGTTAAATCCGGTTCTTGTGTTTTGCAGATTCTCTCGATCTGAAGATGGCTGCACAGTCAGCTCCGAAGGTTGTGCTAAAGAGCACCACCAAGATGTCTCTGAACGAGCGGTGAGGAAGCCAACAGCAGCTTCAGCTCATAAGAATTTTTATTTTTTTTTTTTAAACTTAATTATCACTACCCGGTGTCCAAAAACCAACGTGGTTTCTGCCCTCTTTTAACCTCACTAAAACGTGCAGATGGCTATGCACCTCTGTCTTAAACTGCAACAAATGTGGTACGACAGGTTAAAAGGGCGAGCGTTTCGGAGGAAAAAAAAATTATCCGTAGCCGTTAACGTTAAAAAAAAAAAAAAGTATTTCAACACGTAAATATGGTGGGATGTGTCATACCAAAAAAAAAAAAAGGAACCTCACACCCTCCCTTTTTTTCTTCCACATGTTTTTACATTTATCTAGTGGACCCCGCAGCACGGTAGCATGTGACCCAAGCTGCGGCAGGTTTGCTGCTTCGCCCGAGGCGGACGCCCGCGCAGGCGGTCCGGCCTGTAAGAGGCGACGCAGCAGGCCCTCCAACCAGCCCGAAGGCCCTCGAACAGCGTTTGGGGTCTTGTAAGAGGCAAACGCTTCGCTTCATCTCCATCTCTCTCTCTGTGTCTCTCTCTCCCTCTCCTTGAGTTCTTTATTTCCTTATGTTCTATTTGTGGGGTTTTTTCCCATTGCATCAAGGTGGTTTGAGGGGGTTTTTTGCAGTTCTAACAGCTGCGGTTGTGTTTCGCTTCTGTACTAATGGCTTTTGGATTAGCTGCGTTGGCGAATACGAGGAATATCCCAATCTGAGGAAGAAATTCTTTGCTGTGAGGGCGACAGAGCATGGGCTGCGCAGGGAGATGGTGGAGTCTCCTTCTCTGGAGACTTGCAGAGCCCTCCTGGATGCGATCCTGGGTATCGTGCTCTGAGCAGTCCTGCTTTGGCGGGGCGGTTGGACTCGGTAATCCCTAGAGGTCCCTTCCGACTCCGATGATTCTGTGATAATTCCGTGTTTGGCTGCAGCAGCTGGCCCGTTTGGTTTTAGTCGGTCCCTGTTCCTCACCTGGGAAACGTTTTCGTTCCCTGTAGCTCCTGGGACGCAGGAGCGAGCTGACAGCTTGCTGCTCAGGAGGCTCTGCCCTCTCGCTCGCCTGCAGCTCGTACAAAATGGAAGATTTTGTGCCAAAGAAGCTGCCCAGTGAGCTGTTTTTGTAAGAGAGCGCCACGGGGCGATGGCATTTCTTAGGGTATCAGTTCCGTGGGGCACAGAGGTTTGTTTTCGGGTGCTATCTTTTGTCAGAGCCGCCTTCCGGCCTTTTAAACCGTTTTCTCAGACCTCTGGGGGTTGATTTGGCTTTTTGCAGTCGATTGCGGTTTGCTTTCCCGTTTCTGTGGTGTCCTCTCCCATCTGTCACGATCATCTCTGCTGATTGCTTGTTTCCATTCCTTCTGCCATCTCTCAAAATCAGTAACCTGAAGCTTTGTCACTTCCGAATTAATACACAGCGTCATTTCTGAGTTTCCAGTTCTCGCACCCTGGTGGAAAACGAGGAATCCGTAACCCCGTGTGACGTGCCCTAAGTGCCACTCGTTTACTTAACGTTCACGGGATCTGGAGATCCAGTCTTGAGAACCATGAAATGCCGATAAATGTATGTAATAAAAGCTTTATTTAAACACCCGTTTTATTCGACCTTGAAGCTTTACTAACATGCTGAAGAACAAACAGCCGATGCCAGTGAATATTCGGGCTACCATGCAGCAGCAGCAGCAGCTAGCCAGTGCCAGAAACAGAAGACTGGCCCAGCAGATGGAGAACAGACCCTCTGTCCAGGCCGCTTTGAAGCTCAAACAGGTGAGAGAAAGGGGCGGATCGCGGGGCGGCCGGTCGCCAGCAGGTGGCTTTTCAGGAGACGGTGGATTTTGGAGGAAGGATCACAAAAAAACCAAACCTGCCCCGTAAAGCTTAAAAAGGAGAGACCTAGAAGGGGCTTGCGGGAAGTGCCGCTCTGTACCTCAGATAAGTAACACGTTGTCACTTATGGTTGATATAACCGAGCTGAGGGGTGGGTTGTGCTGGCTGTTGATGTCTCCTCTCTATTTTTTCAGAGAAATGTTCTCGTTCTGGGTTTCTGGATCTGCCGAGGGGCTTCATCTCGCAATCTAGCTGCAGTTACAGTCGCTGCAGATCGTGTCCAGTCCTTGCTGGCCAGCTGAGGCCGGTCGCTCCCATCCCCAACTCCACCCTCCCTTGACAGCAGCTGGTTGCCGGGAACAGATGAAAAAAATGATTATTTTTTTTTTCTTTTTAATTTTTTTTACCTGCTTGCGCGTGCTAGAATTAGCTTATGTGTAGGTCACAAATCAAAACCCATGGTGGTGAGTCCAAACTGCACGACCTGAGCACAGCGTTAGTTAAAGATAATTCTGTGTGTTGGTTCGCCCACGAGGAGAAAAGCCCTGGAAATTTCTTAGCTGAGCTGCTTCACCAAGTAACTGGAATGCTCGAACCTGCCGCGCCTGCTCGCTCTCTGATAAAGAGGAATGCAGCAGCTTTTTAAGATCTCTCGAGTCTTGGGTTGCAAAAACAGCCTGTGGTGCCAGCGAGCCTTGTAAACAAAAGCTCTGGAAACTGTAGTCTGAGTTGTTTTCTGCCTTTAAAAAAAAAAACGAAAAGGTTTGAAAAGAATTTCACAAGCGGTAAAGGGAAACTGGCTTCAAAGCACAAAGTTTCTGCTCCCTTCATGGAGGACTAGTCTGTTGGCTCTTAAACCCGCTGGGTTTTTAGGTTGGGCAGAGGCAGCTTCCGTGGTCTGCAGGGGAATTTGGAAGCCTGGTTGATGTTGGGCTGCTCAGGACGTTGAGACAGTGATTGGATTCATTTTAGTGTCACCGGCAGCTTTTCTGGACGTGAACCTCGATCCTGGTGATGTCTCAGCTCAGCTTCAGCCAGGGCCTCTCTAAACTCAGAGGGTTTCTCGTGCTCGATTTGCAGATTTGCCGTGTTTGCAGAAACCTGCCCTGGGCTTTTTTGTTTTTTTAACCTTTCTGTTGCCTGGAGTTCCAGACCTGCATTACTTAGTGGAGCAGGCTGAGGTGTGGTCACCCCAGGGTGACGAGCACTTTTAGGTTGTTCCAGTGCAGAGTCCAGCAGCTTTTCTTCGAACTCTCATGGTTAAATCACACAAAAGTGCAGTTGGATGTGGAATGTTTTTTCTCATTCCTTTCTGGAAACCCAGCTGGGATGGGCCAGTAGGCCGCCGGGAGCGGTAGCCACGGTGTGAGGCTGCCTCGGGCTTGTTGTGCCACACCGGGGGTAGTGGCTTTGTGTCTCGGGGATTCACCTGGGCTGTCACCTTCCAGCAGAAGGGATCAGGAGGCTGCCTTGGGGGTTCCGCATCCACAAACTGGAGAAAAAGGTTTCCAGTCAGCAAACTTTCTCATCTTCCTTCCAGGAAAGGTCTCTGGTCTCTGTTTGACCTTCACAAATTATCCCCGAGCAGATTGCGTTGTCTTCCTTTGAAGCTTGATTATCTGTTGCAGAGAGCGGATCACCCTCCCTTTTTTTTTTTTTTTTTTTTAAAGGCGAGCAAAAGCACACGCCGCGCTTCCTGCTAGGCAGCGGCCGCGCTCTTTGCGCTGCAAGTCCGCGATTGCTGCATGACTTTTTTTTGTCCTTTCTTCAAAAATTTATTCCAGAAGAGCTTAAAGCAACGCCTCGGGAAAAGTAACATTCAGGCACGTTTGGGCCG